TGACTTTATCTGTCTAAAATGGTCTGATTGTCTGAAATCTCAGACAATTTTAATACAAATCCTGTTTTTTCAGAGTTGTATGATTTCCAAACAAGAGTACTTCAGAGTAGTTACTTTGCGGATAATGGGTCTTCAGACTACAAGGAGTACGGATCCTGAAATGAGGTTCTATAGTTTCTACGTAGCTTCCGCCACGTCATATCTTACCAGTGTACCGAAACACTTCACAGCGCTGTCACGCGCAAAATCTGTAGTTGGCAGACTTGCCACCCATCCCCCTTCTCCCTTTAAATTCTGCCCAGTTGGCTCGTTGTTTCTTTTACGTGGAACCGTCGCTGGTTGCCTCGCATTGTCAGTGAAGGGAACTCAGTAGTGGTGCCTCGCCTCATGCGGTACATTCATGGTGGTGCTGGGCAGCAGTGGCGGGTGGGTGACAAGCATGGCAATGCGACACCACCCACGGCAGAAGCAAACCATTCATCTCCGTACTAGATGTATCTGGACGGCGGTGGGGTTCTTCCCCCACCGCTCAGTTCAGGAGCCTTTTATGGAAAGCTCTGCTGCCTCTCTTCCCCTGTATGTTCACACCATACGTGTCCCCTGCATTTGTGTACACACCATACGTGTTCTAAATGTTTAAGTTTATGTTATTCTTACGGTTATGTTATTCGTGTCTTTGTGAAAGGAAGCGAAGGCGGAGCGTGATGCTGCCTTAGCATATCCTGACATGGATATAATAGACAAGGTAATCAGGACACTGGCCGAATTGTTGTCGAGCTTGAGCAACTCGAGCCGGCGCTTTCAGTACCTCCAAAAGACAATCTGCAAGACTAATTTAGAGGTGCAAGGCATTCACACCGACAGATGGTTGTCACGCGGGGAGACTGTGCGTCGTTTGTCCATGGTGCTCGGCCCCTCGATCGTTCTTCTAGCTCTGAGCAAGCACAACTTGTACGAAACAGTCATATCGTACAAATTTCAGCTTTGTCTTGACCTCTCCATCATGAATGAACTCAACCTCAAGTTCCAGAAGAAACAGGTGAGCACACGTATTGTTAATAATTGTCGGGTTTTTAGCTCATGACATGACTTGCTGCAAGTGGATGTGACAGAGATAGCCAAGGACACTGACTTGCTGCATGCGCCGACGCTACCTTGAGTGCGAAGACATCTTCGGAGCCCCGTGCTGTCGGAGTTCTAATGCTGTACGGGAGGGGTGGGGGGGAAAAGGTACGGGTGCGCGGCGTGGACACTGAAGGACATCACGTTTCCCACGTCTACAAGCTCCACGAGCGGCATCTGGATGGCATGTGTACGGCAGGATGAACAGAGAGTGTGAGAAGCTATGCACCAATTTTGCACAGGAATGTGTAAACATGCATAATTTCCACAGGAATCTGGCACCGACGAAGCTGTTCCAAGCTGCCAAGTGGCCGAAGCAAGGGCAGCAACGCGGCAGGAAGGTGCGGGAGTACCTGCACCGATGCAGTGCGATTTTTGGGGACAAACTCTCGGGCTTCGACATGACTGCAACCGAGAGGGAGCTCCAGTCGTGGGCGCCAATCATGGAGGCGTCTGTCCTTTGTTTTGCCAGTGGTTGCCACTCCCATAGATGTACATTAACACGCCTTTGTACTGGTTGTTTCTCCTTGCATGTATAATTTCAAGCGCTAGCCCAGCATCATGCGGATGTGGCAAGCTACCGCGGTGATGCCCGGTCGACGGTCGGGTGCGAGCGAGGATTCTCTCGCCAAAACGTGATCAAGTCCTGAGTGAGGGGCGCTCTGGGCAACGCATGACAGGCGGAACTGATGGCCATTTCGCTGCTGGACTACGAGATCGACTGGGAAACAGCTCTTGCCAAGTGGCAAGAAAAGTCCAGGCGCCCTGCCAAGTCACCAATTTTTGCAGCAGCTGAGAGGAAGCGCAAGGAGAAAGAGCTCGCTCAAGATGAGGTGCAGGAGAAAGAGGAACGCGGGTGTGAGTGGGGGGAGGATCATGATTTAGATGAGGACGTTGAGGAGGGATTTGTGGGGTCAGGCCAGGATGATGCCACAGACAACTTGTTCCTTTCATAGGATGACAGGATTGAGATGGCTGTTCCAGTGCTCTAGACTAGTATGGACACTGCTTACATGTTGTTTGGAAGTATAACTAGAGTAGTTAGGTAGGTAGGTACTACTAGGTAGTATATAGAGGTACTAGGAAGGTAGGTAAGTAGGTAGGTATGTAGGTAGGTAGGTAGGTAGGTAGGTAGGTAGGTAGGTAGGTAGGTAGGTAGATATTGCTGTGTCGATGACCGTAGTTTGTTCAAATAACTACATGCGACCACCCGAGTATAAAGCAATCCTAACTCTGATTTTGACAACTGAAGTCTGAGTACTTCAGAATTACTGTATGATTTTGTGGAACCTGAGAACTCAGAGTGGCTATTTTCCCAAAAATATGCCTTGCTATTTTTTTCTGTTACCCTCCAGAACATCAGACTGTTTTTCTTTAAATAGTCACCATGGCTACAATCCACATGCCCCCAAGCCCTCTTCATCGTCCCCCCTTACCCGCAATCCCACACCTGCCCCACCACCTTCTGCACTGCGTTCACCATTTCCTACAGCTGCACAACCTACAGCATGCTTTGAACCACCAATGGCGCCACCAATGGCGCCTAGAGGAACCTTTAAGCGACCCGAGGCAGGAAGAGGGAGAATGCGGATGCGGCAAGTGGGCCGGTGTACTGCCAGAAGAGTGGGTAGTCCCCAAACAGCTGCAGAAGGGAGAGGATATGTGGGGCACGTGTGTTGCGCTCCCCTCGCTATCATGCTCTCCGTTGCCATGCTTGCCTTCTGAGAGGTGCACATGGATAGAACAGGCGGGTAGGAAGAACAGAGCAGACAGATAGGACGGAACAGACATGTAGGATGGAACAGGCAACTAGAATGGAAATGCGAAAAAAAAAAATAGAAAGTGTCACAAAGTACAAGGATTTGGCAGGAAAATAATGGCCTGCCTAAGGACCAGGCATGCTCTCTCACTTCTCTTCTCAGGGGTGCGATGGGAGCAAGGGAACCACAGACAAGTAGTGTAATCATCTGGTATGGTGCACACGCACTGTGGCAACGGGGCACAGTAGACTGCCTCTGGCCCACTGCAGTCAGCAGCACCATCACCCCATGACCCTCACCTACACCGCATCAATCCCATTCCATGGGCCTCACCTCCAGCGCATAAGAAGGGCCGCAAGTTGTCGCGGTTCAAAGGTGTGCGTTGGCACAATTTACGGATGTGGGGTGCTGAAATAGAGGGAAACGAGAGAATATCTTCTCTTGGCTAAATTCCAACGTAAAAAGAGGCTGCTCGTGTTTACGACACATCCTTGATCGAGAAGAGTCGCGATCGTGTCAGCCTTCTCGATCAACGATGCGTCGTAAACTTGAGCAGCCTCTTCTTCTGTTGGAAAATAAGCAATGGAAGACATTCTCTTGTTTTCCTCTATTTCAGCACCCACATCCGCTTTGAGTTGTGCCAACGCACACCTTTGAACCGTAACAGCCTAGGGCCCCTCATATAGAAGAAATTTCATGTCTAAATCCCACCCCACAGCCCTCACTCACCTCCAGCGCATCAATCTCGTCCTCCAATGAACCTCCGCCAGCCCCTCTCGTCGCCTCCTTCTCCTCACCAGCCCCACCCACTCAACTACCTGTTACGGCTGCCGCTGCCACTGCTGCCACCACTGCTGCTGCGACTGCCGTTGCTACTGTTACGGCCTCCACTTCATCATGCATGGTGGAAATTTGGTCTGGTGGTATGGCTGGGACAGCAGCAGAGGCGGGAAGGGCCGAGGAGCAAGAAAGAGTTGCAAAGGTGGAAGAGCAAGGCAGGGAGGTGGAAAGGAGATGGAGGAGGGAGGAGGAGAGGCGAGGGCGGGGAGTTTGAGGATGGCACGGAGGGCCCGCACCACCTGAGGCACCATGTTGGCCTGGGGGTGATACAGGAGGAGGGGAAGTGGGGGGAAGAGGATAGGCACACGTAGGAGGGAGGCGTTGAGGATGTGAGGGGAGAAAGGCGAGTGATCCGCGTCGTGAGAGCAGGTCCAGGACATCATATGCAGGGACAATGGAGTCGTCGGATTCGAGCAGGTGACACCTCTTGAACCTGCCTCCCACCTCGACGGCAAATACAGGCATGTGGCGACCTCATAGCCACGCATTGGCCTTGAGCTTGGAGCGCAGAGCTTGCACGGTGTCTGCTGCTGCGATGTCAGTGTGATGAGCGAAACCAGCCAGCCCCATCACCTCCACCACATGCTCCACATGTTCCTATGATACCTGCTCACAGGGGAATGGATGGGTAGTAAAGGTGGAGGGCTTATGTCAAACAACAACGTCTGATAGAAAAGGCTGCATTCAAAGGCCGCAGTACAGTCCACAGCACAGACCACAGCACAAAGCACAGCACAGGCGCACACATGGTTATTTTCATAAATCCTGGTAGACGAAGAGCCACGTAATAAGAGAATTTTCGAAAAATGACCTGCACAATAAGCTACCACACCTGCACAGCACAGCTGCTAGCGTTGAGTTGTCGGAGCGCGTGGCCTGGGCGACCTCCGAGAGCCCAGTAGGCGCACTGCCTTGAGACCAGGATGCTGATGGTGATGGTTCTGCCTGCTGCTACTGATGGTGTGTGGAGATGAATGCAGAGCTGCTATTTCTGCCGACACCAGTGCTGGCAGACCTGCTAGCCATGCCGCCCCACCACAGGGCCGACCTCCCCCACTCACCCCCATCAGCATCATCACCACTCATTATCTGTGACACAGATTCTGTGTCACTGCTGTTCTCCCCGCTGTTGCCACTGAGGAGGCAAAGCCAAATGGTGAATGGGATGGATGGGAGGGCCATGCGGCAATGGCTCTCTCTGACTTTGCCTGCCGCCCTCCCTGGGCTGTGCTGCGTCCCACTCCCTCACACCCATCGCTCCCATGCTCCATTGCTTCCTCAGTCCCTCTGCGACCCCTGGTCGTCCCATGAACCTGCTCTCGTGACACCAGCACTGCTGCCACCAGGGAGACCACCACCGCCGTTGCTGCTGCCTATACCGGTTCTACCAACAGTGGAAGCGGTGGCAACATTGCCATCCACCCACACCTCCCCATGCTGCCTCATCACCTGGAGTGCCTTGCCTGTAGCACCCCATGGGGTCAGTGGAGAGCGCACAGGAGGGGAGGGAGATGATGGGAGAAGGGAGCGGACGTGAGATGTGTGAGCATGAGAGGAGCCAGCCAGGTCGAACGTGGGGTTTGTGGGACAGATGGCTCCATCGGCGATGTGTGGAGAGGGATGCGAGAGTCAATGCCCACTCCACGGCCCGCGGACGATTCAGTCAGTGATCAGTGTCAATTTCCCGCTTCTCCACCCGAGAGCAGGGCATCCCCGGTGGCAGCAAGGCAGCGGTGCACGGTCCATCGTCCATTGCCGCTTGGAACACAGGCGGGCCTCCCCTCTCCACCACTCTTATGCACGCCCCTCCTCCTCATCTCCTCATCGCCCATCGCCACTATCTGCATACATGCGAGGGTGAGAGAATGGGAGAGAGGGAAGAGAGGAGTGGGGGAAGAGAGTGAGAGGGGAACGTAAGGAGTTGTGGGTGATAGGGGCGTGGACAGGCGGAGGAAGAATTGCCTGTGCGTCTCGGCCTTGTAATTACGTGAAGGGGCACAGGTTGACAGGGTGATGGTGCAGATAATGCAAGCAGCTGCCCTGCCTATGTATGGAGGGAGAATGGATGGACCACTCCCCACTCATGCCCTCGCACTCCTCCCTGCCACCACACGACAACCTCCTGAGTAAGCAACAAAATCTTCTTTTCTTCCTTCCTCACAATACACGACTCTCAACCCACCTGCACCCCTCTTTCCTCAACCCACGTGCACCCCTCTTCCCTCAACCCACCTGCATAGTGTACCCCTCATGTGATCACCACCCAATGCTCCTGACTCGCTGCACGCACACCATACATCTCGGCTATCACCACCACCTGCGGCATTTTAAGGCGCCTAACAAATGGTTTTGCAGCTGACTTGGAACCGCTCATCTTGCCGCACGGCCTCCTCAAACCACTCAGCAAGCGCCACGTGGCGCGTGATGTAAGCTCGGATGCCCTCCACCCCGTACGTGCGCAACAACATCCACAGCTTCAGCGACCTGCGAGATGGCTCGGTAGGTAACGTGGGCATGGCGTATGAGCATGGCATGGGCATGGTATGGGCGTTGCAGGGTCATGGCATGGGCATGGGGTTGACAGCATGGTATGCCTTCTGTGTGCGGATGAGGGGCGACAGCAGAGGGGGAGGGAGTATGCGTGCATGGATAGACGTGAGCGTCAGCAATATAAGAGTATGCTGCAATGTGATCACACTGAAGGAGACCTTCAAAGTTAAGAGGTCTGCAGTCCTCGTAAGAGTATGCTGCAATGTGATCCCACCTGGTTCCACATGCAGCACTACCCACCTGCGTCCACATGCAGCACTACCCACCTGCGTCCACATGCAACACTACCCACTTGCATCCACATGCAGCACTACCTGCGTCCACATGCAGCACTACCCACCTGCGTCCACATGCAGCACTACCCACCTGCGTCCACATGCAGCACTACCTGCGTCCACATGCAGCACTACCTGCGTCCACATGCAGCACTACCTGCGTCCACATGCAGCACTACATGCGTCCACATGCAGCACTACCCACCTGCGTCCACATGCAGCACTACCTGCGTCCACATGCAGCACTACCCATCTGCGTCCACATGCAGCACTACCCATCTGCGTCCACATGCAGCACTACCTGCGTCCACATGCAACACTACCTGCGTCCACATGCTGCACTACCTGCGTCCACATGCAGCAGCAGTCGAAGCTGGTGAGCAGCCACTTGTGGACGTTGGACACTAGTGAGTCCGCCAGGTGCACGCCTGCCAGGTGGTGCCGCATTAGGAACCCATGGGGCAGCCCCAGCAGGTCCACCATCCAGTCCATGACAACCTCCTCCAGCTCAGTCGCCGCAGGGGTAGCAGCACAGGAGAAGCCGGCGACATTGAGGGCGCTGATGAGCGCGTCAGCACAGATGGCGGCAGCGCTGGTGGACCGAGCTCTGCCATTGTCATGCCTGGCAGAATGGCGCTCGATATGTCTGTGCGGTGCAAAGCGGTGATGCATGTGGAGGAGCGGTGGGATGGGGGTAGAAAACGGGTGGGGGTTGAGGAGTGGTGGAGGGATCGGGGGAGTGGAGGGAGAGGGAGGGGTGACTTGGGAAGAGGAGGGGTTGGGGAGAGGAGCTCTTTGAAGGGAAAGCTAGCAGCTGTAACAATGGGACGGAAGGTGGTTCATAAGGAGATATATTGGCTTGGGTAGGGGCAGGGCATTGAAGGATGGGGGTGGGCAAGGTGCCTTAACAGGAATATACCAAAACGCATGGTTTGGGCCGTGCGGAGGGGGCATCACCTGAGAGAATGGATTTTTACGGTACGTTTTTACCCTGGACGTTGCCCGTAAAAAGTTTGCGGGCAGCCCGAAATTGGAGAAAACAGGGGGGGGGGGGGGGGGGGGGGGGCAAACGGGAGACGACGGTTAGAGGGGAAACGAAGGGGAAGGACAGGGGGCGAGGGGAGAAGGGAGAGAGGAGAGGCAAGGCGGAGAGAGAAAAGAGGCATAAGGAAGAGAGGAAGGAGAATGGAGAGGTTGTGAAGGAAGAGACGGGAGATGAGCCGGTGGGAAGAAGGTGAGAGAGGAGGGGAGGAGGAGCATGTTACAGTTCAGGCTGGGAAGAGCAGGGCAGCGCCTTGCCCCCTCCCCTCCTCCAGCATGGCACGGCATGGCATGGCACAGCACGCCATGTCGTGGCACCCACACCCACACCCCTCACCTGCATGGTGCTGCACATGGGTCTGTTAGCTACGCTCTGCGGGTAATCCAACCATGAGATGGCGCTGCCTGCACACCTTCTCCGCCTCCAACGCTCTAACCCTCCATTGCTGCCCCTCCTGCAGTAGCACTGCCGTCTTGCACTGTCAGCCCATCACAAGCACTTCCCAGCGCTGTGACCCTGATAGATACAAGCACCTTCCTGGACCTCCGCGGCGTGTCCTCTTGCCGCCCTCCCCGCTCCCGAAGGGCGATGCCCACCAGCCATGGCGGGCGAGACGAGGCGGGGTGGAGGGGGCTCGGGGCGGCGCAGATGGAGGCGGGGGGAGCGCGAGCGCGAGGGCGAGACATACTCGTGCCTTCCTTTGCCGCGTCGCTGACGCGAACGTGTGATAGGCAGTCGCAGCGGCATGAGCTCGTTTCAGTGGAAAGTGCTACGCTAGTTTGAGAACCGGAAGGACACGGCGGCACGGTATAATGGCCATCTGCTGGGTGAGTACCACTGTTCTCCCTATTGTGGTCGCAGGAATCGCGGCGGCACTGCACGATGCCTATTTGCCTGGGCATCCCAAAAATTCAATGGCTGAATTCAGTTCGAAATCGTTGGATACCTTGGGGTATCGCTGGCAACGTTACCCCAACGTTGCCCCAAGATGCCAACTGGAAACCTTTGCGGATCAACGACCTTGACGAATTTCCTCAGAAATTCGTTCCCTGTCGATAATCAGAAATCAACGAATCAGGATGCAGAGAAATTTCGAGGTCACCACAATGATACCCCCCTGCAGGTCATTCGGTTTGGTCGCACTGTTTCGGCAGCCGAAGCTGACCCGAAGCAGGTTGATGTTACAAGCTATTATGATAGTGACAATGTTGAACGATGAAGTTGTTAATGAGCCACACCATATCAGGGTACAAGTTGATGTGTTTTGATGGGAGTCAGGCAGAATAACGTCGGCCAATCACAACTCGCCTTGTCACTTCAGCAAAACAAGACATTTGCCACATATTTACCACCCTTCTTACCGCAAGCTATTATTCTTTAGTTGTTGGGGCTTCAAGCTCTTCACACCTCCTAGGTTTACACCCGCGCTAGCTCCGCGATTCACTTTATGGCGCATAGCTTCCTGGAAGCTTTGCATTCACGCTAGAGATTGGGGCTTCTATTGTTCTTTATCATTCACAAGCAGCGTCTTTGTATGTCTGTAAGAGTATTTAACTTATTTATCTGATGAATCCTTTTTTCATGGCAGATTGAAGGTGGCGTGAGCGATGCGCGATTCTTTCCCAACATCGCATTCCACCATTGACTTCGTTGTTCAGCCGTGAATGCTCGTAAGGTAAGCTATTTGACTCTTCTTTGGCTTAAATGCTGTTCGCCGGTCGCGACCAGCGCCGCTCATTCTGTTTGGCTGCTTGGATACTTTCTGTATATTTTTCTTCATAGCCACGGTTTGATATGTCTACTTCCCGCTTTGCACTGGCTTTCTCCTTGTGATGGTATTTGTTTCACTGCAAATCGTTGCCCTTGCACCGTGGTATTGCAGACATTAGTTTACCAAGCCTTCTACATGCCATGTTATTCTTTCAGGTAAGAAGACGGTAGTCGATCATCATCTGGTGTGGTGATACGGAGAATTTTCCGTACCGTCAGGTTGATTTGGTCTTCCGTGTATTGACATTTCTTTGCTTGTCAATATTGCTTGACGGGTTGTTTGTATTTCGTTACCTTCTTGTGACAGGCAGTTTCACTTTTTTTTTAAGTTGAGTTGTACCTTGGAGAAATGAGGGTATGTTGAGGTGCTAGGTGCGTGCCTTGAATGGCATACGGTACCAGCTGATGTTGCTCAGTGTAATGCACAATTTTATTATCACTGTAATGCTCATTTTATTATCAGTGTAATGCTCATTTTTACTATAACCAGCTTGTACATCGATGTTATCAAATGTACGTACTCACGCTTTCGATATATGGAATTTTGTGGTTCTGCTATCGTGTAACGAATAAAGATAAATACATATTAGAATCCATGTAACGATTCATCTGAAAGTGTATTATCAGAGTGTACTATGCAAATTATTGTTCGCGGTGCACACGAGGCTCACCCGGGGTGGCGTCTGATTCGCTCCACCATCCTGGGAGCAGAAACCTTGCAGCGACTTGTAGGTTACCGTGTGGGTAACCTCGAGGTCACCACGAACAGTTGAGGAGGTTGCCCACAGGTATCCTATATTGAATCCTTTGGGTTACCCACAGGGAGGTATCCCGGAGGTGACCTTGCGGCATCTTTTTGCGTCAATTTTTTTGGGATGGGTGCGCCGATCGCCGAATGCTATGCCGCCTCACGAATGAGGGTTCTGGGTAAATAATTAGCTCACATGCGGCTCGTCCGAGGCGTCTCGCCTCCTGTGCGCCATGCCCTGCCTTGCCTGGCCCGAGTCGAGGGGCGCTGCCCCACTGCAAGCCCTCGGATTCGTTTTTTGCCTGTCTGATTCATTAGACTAGTACACAATTTTAGTCTGAAACCCTCAGAGTTGGTATAAAAAAAAGGCTGAAATTTTAGAGTGCCTTAATAAAAAAGTCTGAAACATCAATGTATCTAATGTTTCATCAGAAATGTATTCAATGCTTCATCTGATACTGAAACATACTAGACTAAGGGGATTTTCGGGAGACATTCTCTAACAGTGCGAATTTCTATGTTAGGGCAAATCTTGTGAAAGGGCGAATCTGCAATGTCAGGTGAAATTTCTTAGTGATTGGTCAAAATCATTGTGCTCTGACAGCGCAAATCCGATGTGTCAGAGCGATTTTGATGTGATTGGGCGAAAATCTTGTGCTGTAAGGCGCGGATTTGCAGTTTCAAGCCGATTTTGCATTGGCCTGTGAAGTTCGAACCGAATCACCAGTCAAGAGCACACGCAGAAAATAGAGTCGGTACCCGTTTGTACTCTGAGTGATCAGAGCACACTCCCGGAAAACTCTGAAACGTCGGAGTTAGTGTCAGAACATTATAGCTTATATATTTGTGTAGGCTATAGTGGGGTATCCCATAGGGGGTACAACCCAATCAGGGTTTCCTATATGTACTCACTTCATTCATAGTTCATTCATTCTCGTTCTAGTTTCTTTCACATGGTTTCAGAGCGGTTACGCTCTCGGCCTGTGGGTACTACTGCTTCCGCTGCTACATGCTCTGTCGCACGCCCCGTGGTGTGCGACCAATTTCAATCTCGGGGCGCGCGGCGATTTGCACTTTGGCGCGCGCCTTGGGGCGCGCGACCTCTTTCTTTTCTGGCGCGCCGCCCGTCCCGGCCCCTAGCCGCCCGCGCGGCGCCCGTCCCGGCCCCTAACCGTACATGCGCCACCCGTCCCGGCCCTTAGACGCCTGCGCGCCGCCCATCCCGGCCCTTAGACGCCCGCGCGCCGCCCGTCCCGGCCCTTAGCCGCCCGCGCGCCGCCCGTCCCGACCGCGCGCCGCTGCTCCAGCCCGTCGCCGCCCGTGAGCCGCCCGTCCCGGCCCCACGCCGCCCGTCCCGGCCCCGCGCCGTCGTCCCGGCCCCCACTCCGCCCGTGCGCCGCCCGGCCCCACGCCGCCCGTGCGCCGCCCGTTCCGGCAGCGCGCCGCCATCCCGGCCCCACGCCGCACGTGCACCGCCCGTCCCGGCCCCGCGCCGTTGTCCCGGCCCCCACTCCGCCCGTGCGCCGCCCGTCCCGGCCCCACGCCGCCCGTGCGCCGCCCGTTCCGGCAGCGCGCCGCCGTCCCGGCCCCACGCCGCCCGTGCACCGCCCGTCCCGGCCCCGCGCAGCTGCCCCGGCCCGTCGCCTGCTGCATTGCCGAGCCACCCCCCCCACTGAGCCGCCGAGCAGCCTAGCAGCCGAGCCGTAGCCGAGCCGCTGAGCAGCCCAGCAGCCGAGCCGCCGAGCCGCCCGAGTCGCCCGAGCAGCCAAGCCGCCCGGGTCGCCCGAGCCGCCAAGCCGCAGTTGCTGCAGTGCCGCCGTGCCGCCGAGTCGCCAAGTCGCCGAGTCGTCGAGCCTGCTCTTCCCACCACTGGTGGTCGAGCCATTGACTTTGCAGTCTGGGTTGACGACCTGCAGCTGTACTTGCTGTGCGATGCGGTAGATGAAGTTTCTCTCTTTGACTTTGTCACTGGCGCTGTCCCTGCCCCTCCTGCTGATGCTGAACCCAGTGTTCACTCCAAGTGGGCCACACGCCATGCTGCTGGACGTCTTGCTGTGCGTCGCCACCTCCCTTCATCCGAGCGTGCACACTTTAGTCAGTGCAAGACCGCTCAGGCCTTGTACGACGCTGTAGTTGCGCGCTACTCCTCCCCTTCCTCTGCTACACTGAGCTGCCTCATGCTACCGTACCTCTTCCCTGACCTAGCTGCCTTTCCCACAGTCGCTGACCTCTTTACCCTGCCGTACCTCTAGTGACACTCGCTACCGCGCTGCGCTTCCTGCTGACTTCTGCGCCGCGAACCCCCCTCCCAGGTACATCACCCTCTACTTTCTAGTCACCGGTCTCCCTGCGTCCCTTCGTGTAGTTAGGGACTAGTTTCTCTCTGTCTGTCCCACCACCCTCACCGTCGGCCTCCTCGAGAAGTCCCTGCTAGCAGCCGAGAAGAGCATAGTCGCTGTAGGGGCCTCTCGTGGTGACCCTCGCACCCCCATCTTTGAGGGGTGTTCTCCTTCCCCTCTGCTACCCTCTGTCACCTCTGCTGCTGCGGCCGACCTCGTTGGTTTGGAGTCGGTCGGTGCGGCGTCTGCCCCCAGCGGTAGGCGCCGCTCTGGCAGAGGCAAGGGGGGCAAGGGAGCGGGTGGAGCTAGCGGGGGCGGTGGCGGAGGAGGTGGGGGCGGCGGGGGGAGTGGGGGTGGCGGTGGAGGTGGTGGCGGGAGTGGAGGTACTAGTGGAGGCGGTGGAGGCGGAGGTGGTGGCGAAGGTGGCGGTGGGAGCGGCGGGGGCGAGGGTGGCGGTGGCGGCGATGCCGGCGGAGGCGGTGGCGGAGGTGGTGGAGGTGGGCGGAGTGGCTCATCCCAGCGGAGCAGCACTGGGGGTGGTCAGCGCCAGTAGCAGCAGCAGCAGTAGCAGCAGTAGCAGCAGTAGCAGCGCTCTCGCGACGTCCTCGCCCCTCAGCAGCTCCGTGAGTGGTACTCGCAGCGTCAGCGTGGTGGGGCGTTTGGTCCCTGCACCTACGTTCTTCGCACCGACGACCGCGCGGGTGAGCAGTGTGGGGGCACCCACACCGCTCGCCGCTGCTTTGGCC